TTTTGAGCCTAATATGCATCCAATGGTACTTTTCCATCAGAATCCATTGTTTTTTTGCTTGGGCAATTTTGTTGATATTGAGTGCTAAATTGTGGAACTGGATTTGGCAGTCACAGATGACACAGCATTACTGGTAACAGGTATAAACCAAATAAGTCCTCCTATTCCATATCATATAGTAAATGACATTTTAGGTTGGAATTCTTTGGCAGGTGCAGAAAGAGGTGTGGATGGTTTAATATTTAAATTCAATAATTCATTTTCTAACTATCTTATTCTGTCATTGACGTTGCTTTCTATCTCATAGATCTTGCTGTTATAATCTTTTTGTACTTAATTTTCTTTCGTTACAGTCTTTCTGTACATTACAAATGTCCTTTTTTACTTTGCTTTTCACTTTGTTGGTGTCCTTTTGTATTTCTTACATTTTATGGTAGTAATCCTTCTGTCCATCACCAATAGCTTTATAAATAATCTTGTTTTCAATCAGCTTTATTTATTTTTTCTTAATTATTCTTAAAATATTATGTTTCTCTCTTTTCACTCTTCCCTCAAATTTCTTTATATTACCTCTTGATCTTATTTTATTTTTCTATCTCTTTCTTCTTGATCTTATTTTATTTTTCTATCTCTTTCTTCTTGATCTTATTTTATTTTCTTATTTCTTCCTCGTCTTCTTTTGATTTTCTATCTGTTTCGTCATGTTTTTTCTTTAAATGTTCTTGATCTTCTCTTAATACTTTCTGTTTCTTTCTGTTTGTTCTTCTTTCTGCAGTTTCACCATTTTTAGCAAATTTTCATTCTTGTTTCATGTTTGGGTTGTTATCTTGAACTTTAACCAAGTTCTATTTTATTTTCACTAGAATAACCCCACGTTTGTTATCAGTGGGGTAACATGTTCTATTGTTCGGCGGATTCTTTTGTGTTATCTAATACAAATAATGCTAATCCAGTCCACATATTAATTAAATTTTTTTTTCAATAACGTTTCAATAGAAATCCGAGATTAATAGTACTTACGCCTGACTCTCAAATAAACTTTCTTACAGAATTCCCTCGCTAATCGATGGATAACAAACACTCTGACTAACTAAATCGTAGATAGAGAGACGCATTAACTCTCACTGTCTAACACAATACTAACACTGAACTGGTACCTCATTGAAGATATCACTAACACACCGTCATTTTACTACTTACTACACGAAACTTTTAGGTTCTTAACGTTTGTTAAATTTATAGATGACATCACGCACCCTCTAGCAAACAAATATATAAATAAGTATATATTGTTACGACAGCGGAAGTCACGTCAGTCCCACTATTTGTGATTAGCTGCGTTCTATCACTTCAAAATTAGGGACGGTTAGCGCAGATAGCCCTCGAATAGGTTTGCGTGAAATTCAAGAAATTTTAAATTTCAGTAAATATCAATTGCAGTGCGAACAAAAGTTTCTAAATAAGAATAATCCTTTACGTCAATACCGATTATTCAAACCTATAATACGGAATTTGAAGAAAATATTTTATGGATAAGTTTACAAAATTGTTGATACGATCTATTCCACAAAATTTTAAATTATTGTACAAGTTGTAAGTTATACAGAAATCCAATAGTTTAAGCTATATTTTCAACATTTTAATTTATATGTTTCTTTGTCGTTAAGCACAAAGCTACAGAATGAACTATCTATGTTCTACTCTCCGCGGGATTGAAACCCGATTTTTAGCATGAGAAGCTCAAAGACTTACCGCTGAGCCACTGCGAGGAGGTTAATTTATATGTTTGTTTGTAGGAGCTAGTCATTACTTTTGTTATTATTAATAGTATTAATATTATAATAAAAGTAATGGTGGATTACAAGGTTGCCTCATAATATTAATACTACTAATAATAACAAAAGTAACAAGTTATAAAAAATATTTTGCAAAAATTAAGTACGATGTAGGGATGGCAGTGCCACAAAGTACAGCAAGAAGACATGGATGAATACAAAAATCCCTACACAAGTAGTCAGTAAGTACAGAGTCAATCTTACAGTGGCTTATCATAAGCCACTGTAAGCCTGTATAGCACTATTCAGTTTAAATGATTTTATCCAAATCTGATTTCATGCAACTAACAGGAATTCAACATTTAGTTGTAAATATAAGTTATTCTTGGAAATATTTGGTTATTTATGTAGTGATTTTTGTATGGTTTTGTGTATTCATCCCTACTTTGTTTCTGTACTTTTTGACATTGCCAACTCTACATCATACTTAATTTTTGGATAATTTATTTGTCAATTTAATTTCACCCTTTTCAAACAATTTCATGGAAGTAGGTTGATAAATGAACATTTGTTTTATTTTTTACTAATTCAATGGTAATATATGTTGTTAATATAATCAGTTCTGCCAGGCTATTCATTTCACAAGTGAAATGACCTCATATATTGATATTACACTATACAACTGGCTACAATCACCACTGGTCATAATCTTTACGTTTTGGGATTTAATGTTGAGGAATCTACAATAAGGAAAGAACACATAAAAATGTGTAGCTGTATCATCTCTATATTCATGTTTGCATTCTTTTTGGCACTGCCATCCCTACATCATTTTACATTTTGTTTTGTGACTTTTTTTTTTTTACCCTGACTGAAAGTTAATATTATATGTATTAATTTTTTTACTCCTTCAATTCATATATAATATATGGATTGAACCTCTAAAGACACCGATTGTAT